CAGTTCATAGGAGCAACTACAGAGGGTAATCCAATGATCCTGACAGAGCTAATGCCGACGAGCTTAAGAAAGGAATTAGAGATTGGAGGAGTGGCCTATCCTGCCATACTGAGCATCAGTTTAGATGTAGCCTGTGCTCTCAATTACCTTCATCTCTTCAAGCCTCATCCTATACTACATAGAGATGTCAGCAGCGCTAATGTACTCCTTCAACCAATGATAGGAGTATGGAGGGCTAAAGTATCTGATTACGGATCAGCTAATCTTCAGCATTCTATAATTAGGTCAGTCAATCCTGGTGGCCCACTTTATGCAGCACCTGAAGCAGCCAATCCAAAGGAACACTCTCCTTCAATGGATGTGTTCAGTTATGGTGTTCTCCTTCTAGAGATGATAACACGACGTATTCCTCTACCAGAAGAGAGAGTAGGTCTTATTGATGGTATTAGAAGAGCCTCGTTTAAGTCTCTTGTTGAACGCTGCCTGATAGTTGAGTATAGACACCGTCCAACAATGAATGATATTATAACTGAACTAAATGACACTGTTTATTAATTATTGAGATATTATTGTTGTTGTTGCTGCAAATTTTTTTTAGATAGGCTATTTTTAATTCTTTAAAATTAGTTTTAAAACAAAGTTTTAAGTATGACGTCATAATAAGGGCTTTACCTCCAAACAAAATGGCAGCCAAAGCACTGGAGATTTTAAAGATTAACAGATTATTATAGATTATTTTCAAGGGTGTACGGGATTATTTGGAGTTGCGGACCCCTCGGTATTTTGTTTATACTTGATTATGACTCGTGTGTTGTTACTATTAGTGTATCATTCAGTTACTGTTACCTCTTGTTATCTATAGACTATCAACCAGTGGAGAGGAGTGGTCACTCCACTGTACGGGTAGGAGACTACCTGTACATCATGTGGCACTAATATTCTTGAGAAGGACTCCAATTTAGAGTTAAGGTATTTTTAAAATGCATTTATTGCGGCATGCACTCAATTTTAAATTATTCAACTTGCAGTATGTTGGATCTGAGAATGTTAACAGGAGACGTGGTGATGCTGAAGCCGCTAGATACTGCCTACCTACTTTGAGAGTAAGAAAAGAGAGAGGGAGAGAGAGAGTGGGGAAGAATTAGCCTAGTTTAAAGCATGGTTTCATTTTCATGAATTCAGTAGCCCGCATTGTTGTTATTGCTTTATTTTTTTCCTTCTCTCCTTTTATAGACGGCTAGTAAGAATATGAGAGCTCACAAGCCAAAAGCAGTTTTAGGTCTTAACCTGAAAGGAGTATCACTTTATGATGAGAGATCAAAGGTACATGTACATGTACAAAATATGAGTATTGAAGAAATACTGTATGGAAGGAAATTTTGGAGGTAATTAAATTTGGTGAATTTGGCGTTTTGATAGCCATTTGCCAAAATAAAAATTCGCCATTTTGAGCCATTATGCGCATGCTCAATGGCACATGGCCACAAATTCGCCAATCACCAAAATTTTAGCATTTCGCCAAAATTTAGTCCCTCCAAAATTTCCTTCTGTACGGTATTTGTAAAGAGTATTAATAACTATTAATAACTATAGTCTATAACTCGTGTCCCAGTGGATAAGGTTACTTATGTAACTCTTGATCCTGAGGATCAGTGCTACTTTGGAGTTATCATTCAAACTAAGGAGTCCCACACTGGATTTAGACTCTACTGCTTCAAGGCTGAGAGACCAATAGTACGCTATCATGATCATACATACAGTACATGTACAGTTTCTGCATGTAAAACTTGATAACTGATGTCTGCATGAATTGGATAGCAACTAGAAAACAATTTTGACTTTTATTTTACTTTTCTATTGTTTTTAGGCTGTTACATTTGTCAATTCATCTCGTGAGTTATTTGATCTTATCATGAAGTTACGTCAAGCAAAGAAGAAGATGAAGGAGGAAAGAGAAGAAGCAGATAAAGCACCTCAAGGTACCCCATCACAGCAAGAGTAATATCTTATATTTTATATTTCCTCATTTCTCCATCTCTCCCCAGATCCTGATACTAGTAACCTACCAGCTGAGAATGCTCCTCCTCCTTCTTATACTTCAGTTTCCAAAGCTCCAGACCGTCCACCTCCTCCTATGCCAAAACAAGCTCCTGCTATGCCCCCACGCCCACAAGAGGCAGACATATTCTCATTTGGTAATGAGCCCCCACCTCCAACTTTTGATGACGTCTATGATGTAAGTATTAAAGTAATTTAAATATGTTATTTTATTC